GAATTTGTGCCATGTACATGTTTGCAATTATGTCATTAATTGTTATGTTCTTACAGAAACCTGAATAGAAGGCTTCTGTATTGGCCTTGTTATCTGTCCACATTATCAAGTGTTTTTGGTTCCATAATGGTGCGAATGTAGACATCGCTATCAGGCACGTCAGGAGCTTACGCATTTGAATGCTGTTTGCTGTTAGGTCCATTCATGTAGTCCAGTTAAATGCTGTGAAATATTGCTTATATGTTGCGCCGCCGCCTAGGTTGGATGCATTTGTGAATAAGTTCTTGATATTTGGTTGTAACCATATTCTATCTTCTAGGAAGTATACTCTTGACCATTCTGGAAGGATTCTGGACCACCATCGTAGGTTAGCTTTCATTGGGCTTGTTATTTTTATACAGAGCTTTGATTTTTTGGGTCTGCTTACTGCTTTGATAAAATGTTATAAATAGGGTCGGCCTTGTGGAATTGTTTGACATAGCCATATAAGTGAACCAACCAGTAATTGTATCTCTTTTTTGTAACCCTATTTCTTGTCAGTCCATTCAGCAATTGTTTTTAGAATTTTTTCCTTTTTTGTTTCAGGAATAGATGCAGAGAAATTAACTGTGTCGATTTGAATACCAAGAAATGTTAGTACTGTGCATGGGCCTTCGAGTTTTGATGGCTTGTAGGGAACATTGAGTATATCTAATATCTGTAAGAATTGGTGTAACTCCTGCTCAGCATTTTGTTTGGATATTATTAAAAAATCATCTACATAATGTATAATTGACTTGATTCCTTGTTTTACTGCGATCCACATGATTATTTCTGCGAATCTGCAGAAAATGCCACCAGATGCCCTGTTACCAAATGCTAGTGCTTTGTCAAAATAAAGCTTGTTATCATATTGCAACCCTTGAAGTACTTGATCAACTAGGTGTACAGGTAGTATACGGTATGCATCCTTTATATCAATTTTGGATAGTAAGCAATCTTTTCCATATTGTGCTATCCACCTTATAGCATGATTTATATTTTTATACTTAGTTGCAAATTCGCTACCATCAATACCATCATTTACACTTGCCATAGCTGGTGCTGATAAATGGGAAATAACTCTATAGACTTTCAGGTTTGTATTTTTCTTTTCTACCAAACCACATGGGTTTATTTGAAAGACTGAGCATGGTGGATTGCAATAGTAAATGGTCCACACATATGTTTTAGAGCCAATTCATTCTCTATATACTTAGCTAGTGCTGTTTGTTCTGTGTCTATAGATCTCAGATTATCCTGTACTATTATTGTTCGTTTGCCAGTGAAGTTAAATCTAAAACCGTTTTGAATGCCGTCTTTAAGATATTGAACAAATTGTTGATTTGGGTGTTCACATGTTAGGTAGTCAAATGCGAACTTGTTAATTGGAGTTATTACATTAAAGTGAGTTGGGTCTAATTGTGCTAAGATTGCTATCTCTTCTTGTGATAATGAACTGCTTCTTGGTGGAATGGCTTCTATAGTTTGTTCGACTAATTGTAGATTTGGTTCTACATATGATGTTATAGCCTTTGATGCTTTAAACTGTGCAGTGTACTTCATTGATTTTTGTATATTACTTGTCACTATTATTTTATACATTTATGTTAGTAATGCCTTCATTGTTATTTACGCATTTTGTGCTAGCACTATTGTCTATTTGTATTTATTTATTTAACTACTGATGCTGTTTGCATATATTTTATTATTTTAGATTATGCGTTCAGTTAAGAAAAAAAAAAATTTTTTTTTTTTTTTTTACTTATACTGCTGCTGTTTTATTCATTTGTCAGAGTATAATTATTCTTGTTTCTTAAATTTTTGCAAAAGCAGGTCTTTTCGCTATGAATAGTTTTCCTGCATATAGTACAGGCATGGATTCGACCACAATTCTTGTCCTCAGGACATGATTTATGATTCCAATTTAAACAAATCTCTTTGCTGTCTTGCCAATATGTATTTACCTAATTAGGGTGGCGCCAGCCATTATCTTTTGTTTTTCTTGTCGTTGTCATATCAAAATTTTTGCCTTCTGCTTCTATATTTCTGTCTTGAAGAGTGGAATCACGGTCCATTACTAAAGCCACTCTATGATCTTCATCATATTCCATAACAGCTGCAAATTCATATTTGATACATAGCTCATTTATATGATCTCTATATGTGTTTAGTTCTTGTTCATGATTTTCATATAACATTAATACCGCATCCATATATGCTTTGAATGCTAATAACCACTCAGATATGTTTCCAAAGGTTGTATTGCACTTCTGTTTCTTTATAGAGATCATTCCACCTTCTGAAGTTTCTAATGTAGTGTCATCATTCATTTCTTTTGCACTGTCAATTAGGTTTTTATATATGAATTCATGAAGGTTCATGAATGAACCAAAAGCTAGCGCCTTCCATAGTTTGTGAGTCAAGGTTGGCTTTTGTGGAATCATTTCTATCATTTTTTGTCCTTCCTTTCAGTTCATAACCCACCATGACTGAATATGTTCTGTCTCTACTGCTTTTGGGTTTGAGAACCCTTGAACTGTCGGCATATTCTTTATTATACTGTAGTTTATTGCTGGAAACCTTCTGGCTGTTACTTTGTATGTTATTACTCCAACGTTACTTATCATTTCATTGTTTTGATTTTCCAGATTTGCACTCATGATTAGGTTGTTTATGACTGGGAAAGGAGGATAATTACCTTGTGAGGTTCCGGTATCTCTGTCTGTTTCCATGTTGTTCTGCTGATTGTCTGTTGTAGCCTGGTTAGTGTTGTCATTCTGATGATCATTATTATTATTATTCTGTTGGCGTGTTCATTCCAGCTATGCAAATCTTTGATTGATTGTGTCCATGCACTGGGAGTTCCATTCTCTTTGCGCTTCAAACTGTTGATCCATATATTGTTGCATGGTCCACATTATGGCTGCTGCAGTTGTTTGGATTATTGTATCTACATATGTTTTTGTTTGTGTGTCTATGCCCGTTTCATGACTTCGCTCCTCTTGGTTTTGACTGCCAGATGCAACAATTGTTTCTACAGACTCATTGGATATAGTGCTTGCATTTCTGGTGATTGATAAGTTGCGTGTATTCCTCTTGCTCATTTTTTTTTTTTTTTTTTTTTTTGCAAATGTTCTGCTTTCCCGGTTGTTGTTTGGCCACTTGCTGATGTTCGACCTTTTGTCTTGCTTCTTGTCATCTTGGTTCTTGTCTTGTTATTTATTGAGTCATCTATCTGCACTCCTTATATGTGCTATTCTTATTTGGGAGGTTGCATGTACTGGATTTGCTTGTTGGCGCCAAGTTCTGCATGTGATTGCAGGTGCCAGTGCGTCATTGCATCGATTGCCTTTTCAATCTGTTGACCTTTTTGTCAACTCAAATGACAATTAGTAATTATCATTTTATCAGCCCGATAAAAAATTTGATAAAAATAAATAAAAATTACCAAATATTAAGCATTGAGGCCTTTAAATTTATATTGGATCACTAATTTTTGTGCCTAAAAAACTTATTTTTACTATCCTTATTATAGCATCTTTGTTTTTACAGATGTATGCATTCATTTATGTTTTTTATAAAATAAGTAGCTGCGTGATATTGTCACACAAAACCAGGAACAGAAGGTGGATTTTCAGATCGAGTTGCAGATGAAACTGCTTTCGTCCTAAGTTTTTTATTTGCTTAACTTTTATAAGTTTTATTTGCAACTTTAACTTGATCATATGTGCAGTAGGTCAAATGCTAACTATGTTATTTAGGTGGACTTTATATGCAATTCAGATAGATTGCAATTTTCATAGCTCTAGCCAGCTTCATAATCCAGGTTTGAATTACAAATCAGAAATCGGTTCAGAACAGATCTGCATCATCTGATTAATAGAATTCATTAGTGATAGTAGCTCACCCACAAGATTTTTTCCCGGTACGTGATTTTTAGCCAATTATATTGAAGGATCAGGTGTAACGTAAAATCAAAACAATTGAATTAAGCAAAAGATTTTAAAGTAAGAAGCCTCATCTTAATGTTAGAATAAGGATTGAGGAAGAACATAGCTTATACTAAAATTTTTCGCGAGAAATTTTTTTTATTAGAACGCAGAAAGCAGTTTCATAGGTAAAATTTCGAGTTAATGGCGATTTTTTAAAAAGATGTGATTTTCACGTTACACCTGATCCTTCAATCTAAAATCTTGTGGGTGACACCGCCGCAAATGACCAGCACTAACTTTATGACACCGAATGACCAGCATTATCATTAAGGTTAGTGTTAGAGTTAGGAAATTAGATCACATGTTGCAGTGTCGATAGCAATTCTAGGTAGGGATGGAATCGGCTACAGCCGGCTATAGCTGTAGCCAATATTAACCGACCGGCTAGCCGATGACAGATTTTTAATTTCCTGGTTGATAATAATAATAATAATTGTATAATTCAGTATGCAATCATATCAGCGGGTCTGCAGGGTCTGCATCATCTGATATAGAAGAACTTATCGTTCATAATTTTGGGCAAATTTGCAGATCATTTGGCCAGATCTAGAACAAAACAATTTTAACTCTGGTAGAATGATCTGCACTGGGTAAAATCCCACCAAAAAAAGTTTCGAAAATCATATGATATTGTCAATTCATCATGAATTGATTTTTTTTCTTAGATTCTTTAAAGTGAAAAACAATTGTCAAAAGCATAAAATTCAATAAACACACTATTCTAAAATTTCTATTAACAATAAACGAAAATTGAACAATCAAGAAAGTGCAATTGAATCAGAAAATCTTGTAGTTTTTAATGCCTTCTGAAAAATTATAATTCTGACTATTTGGGCTGCCGTCAACAGAAATCAGGCAGGTTAACATTTTAAAAATAATCAATGCCTTAACTTACACAGCTCATATCTCAATGAATTTCGAAGCTATTGTCATCATTTGATAGTTAAAAGAAAGCTTAGATTTTAAGCTTTCATTTAACTATTAAATAATGGCAATAGCTTCGAAAGTCATCGAGATATGAGCTATGAAAATTAAGGCATTAATTTGTTTTAAAATGTTAACCTGCTTGGTTTCTATTGATGGCAGCACATTTATTTGAATCCAGGATGCTGCAACAAAAAATTATTGAAGAAAACAAATAGTAACAAATCGTTTGATAATATTAATAAAAACTCTGCCATGGTATAAATTGTAAGATTATATTCGAAATAAATAAAATAAGTTACATGAATTTTTAGTGCTCGATATATTGGCACGTGATATTCGAAACCCATCATCAATTAAATATTTATAATTTTGGTCAAATTTGCAATCATTTGACCAGATTTGAAATTGTATTGTTTTAGATCTGGTTAAATGATCTGCAAATTTGGCCAAAATTATAACTGATTGGTTTTTCTATTTATCAGATGATGCAGGTCCACAGATATGATTATTAAACCAACATACAATTGATACAATTAGTTTGTTACTTAATTAAATATTTGATGAAATAATTAAATAATTGATCAGCTATAGCCGTGCTAGCCAGTAATAACCAACCATAATTCCAGGTTTGTAAAAATCTAGAAATCACAAGACGAAGTCACAAGATTAGAACAACCGATCAGATAAAAAGAGACACACTATTTCAGATGCCTATAAACCATACTCTACATTGTACGTTGTACAAACTCTGCTCCTGGTAAATATTGAATGATGAATAAGTCACGCAAACCAATCAATTCTAAGATTTTGCATAGAGGCATTTGTTCCTAGTACCTATCTTTTAAAGTATCATTTGGGATGCTACACAAAGTCATGATGACAGATGATCCAATCATATGCTGAGAATCGCACATGCATATTAACTTGCCTGTAAATCATACACTACGTACTTCATACTCTGTTCCTGGTATACGTGAATTTACTGTACAAATTCAATTCCATTTTGATATAATCTTCATAATGTTTATAATCAGATGCATTATAAAATATCTATTTTTATTCGAAATGTATCGCCTTGCATAGGCATTAAAGAACCTCTGCTATGCTCCGAATCGATCATATAACAATAAATATTTTAATAATTAATTTTAATTAAACCTTCTAGTCAAAATTGATAACTTAAGTGCATCTTAAGTAAATTAAGGAAAATAAAAAAAAAACATTTTTAACTTGTCAAATTTGAGAAAAAATTAATCTACCAGGTTTTTTTCTATTATATAAATCTAAT